CCGGACTAGTGGGCGTGGAGGAGATGAATAGTTTTTTTTATTTTTATTTTTATTTTTATTTTGTTTTTAGTTATTGTAAATATTTTATAGGATTAAATAGCAAAGTTATCCTTTTACTTTTTTAAATTGGTCAAAGTTTAATTTTTGATCAACTAATAGTTAAATAGATAATTTTTGTTTGACCTCTGCTGCTAATTTATCAAAGATTTAGGATTTTTGTTAGCACAAATTGAAGGTTGAAGTAACGTTTACAAAAAAGTGAAATATTAGACACTATAACTACAATTTTCCCTTTTTTATTGTACGATATATCAATTATAGTTAGTAAATAGAAAAAGCATTAGTGAAGTACGTTACAAGTGATATTATGGCCCCGTTTGGTAGGGATTTTTTGTCCCAAAAAATTAATTTTTTGACCGTTATTTTACTATTCAAGTCGTAATTTTTGACTTCTTCTCTCACATGTGGACCCCACCTTTCTTCTAACGGTCAAAAAATCAATTATCAAAATCCCTATCAAACGGGGCCATAATACAGAAGTGATTGATAATAGCACAATACATTACAAATTATATCACATTTGACTGTATTAGGATGTAAAGAGAAATTCAGGGTTGGATTGAGAAACCTTTTCACGTAGTGTGATTATAAATCTCCAACTTATTTAATTTTGTAAATGTTGGTCCCACGTGTTCGAAAACTATCCATGTGGACATTAAGAGCCTATTCGGTAGTGATTATAAGAATCGACTTTTTAACCGTTAAAGGGAAAAGTGAATCCTACTTATGAGTGAAGAATTCAAAAGTAATGATTGGAATAGTGAAATTAACGTTAAAATTTTGATTTTTTGGAGTTACAAATTGGTATCACTGCAAAAACCCAATCTTAAAAGAGAGTTGGGTAAGATCACATCCAAGAGAGGGCGGCCACGTACCCACCAACCCCTCGCACACTTGGCCTCATCACACTATATGATGGTAACCTCGTTCTGTGATCGAGAGTTCAGATTCTGCGCCACCGCCTTCAGCCACTACACCCACCACTTGCTCACCCCGCCGACTTGTTCCGTCGCTCTCCACCGCTAAATACCCATCCAGTTGTTGCTGAAGAGAGCAAATGGCGAGAAATTGAGAGTGCAGAATACAAGCAATGGATTCCGCTAATAACGTTGTCGCGCCATTTGTTATGAAGACATATCAGATGGTGAATGATCCAACGACGAATGGAATTGTTACATGGGGAAGAGGAAACAATAGTTTTCTTGTTCTGGATCCTATAGATTTTTCGCAGAGCATCTTACCGGGTTACTTCAAGCACAACAATTTCTCAAGCTTTATTCGCCAGCTCAATACCTATGTGAGTCAATACTTCGCGAATTGTAATAATTTCATATCATTATCTAACATTATCTTATAATTATGAACAAATATGAGGACTATAGTAGACAGTTACTAATTTCAAAATGTTTTTGCTCTGCCTATTTGCCAATTTCCAGAAATTTAGGGTTTTAAAGCTTCAGAGTGGATGACACATGTTGATATCGGGATTCAAGTTTTCAGTCATCCATATGAAGAATTGTTCACGAATTGGTTTTTCACTTTTTACTGTGAGTTTAGGGACAATAAGCTTTGGTATCTGCCCTGTGGCCTGTGGGAGATATCTTTAATTCACAATTTTCTTTTAGTTGTAGCCACCCCTGAATCGAGATTTCTTTGCTGATTCCGTTGATTAAAACAATTTCTTGATGAACATATTATTGTGCAATTTTTAGAAACAACTTCTGCATATGCATAATGTTGCTGATATTGTAGCTTGAATAATTTATTCACCATAATCTGAACTCACTTGTAGCCTTAAATGTAAAAATATCATTAGTCTTGATTCTCACCTGAGTTCTGATTCACCAGGGTTTCAAAAAGGTAGATCCAGATAGGTGGGAGTTCGCAAATGAATGGTTTCTTCGAGGACAGACTCATTTGTTGAAGAATATATCGAGGAGAAAGAATGCTAATAAACAATACGTTTCGCATCATAAACACAAAGAAAATGAAGATGAGGAGCTATTTATGGAAATTGAAAAGTTAAAGCAAGAACAGAAGACCTTAGAACAAAAGCTTCAAAGCATGAATAAGAGGCTAGAAGCAACAGAGAGGAGACCCCAACAAATGTTGACTTTTTTGTACAAAGTTGTCCAGGACCCAGAGAGTTTACCTTGCATGAATCTTGAAAAGGAAAATTTGAAAAGATTGGATTGTAATAACATTGAAAAGAAAAGAAAGCTCATTACAAATTCAGCTACTTCATCACATTCTTTATCAGGAACGGATTTGTCGAGCTTTTCTGTCAAGACTGAGTACGAAAAAGAAGGTGCTGCACAAGAAGAAATATCAAAAATGCTCTCCCCTGATGCAAACTTGGACATCGACAAGGGTTACAAGTCTTCTTCATCGCTGGAGGCATCATCCCCCGAGTGGTTGCGACAAACATCGATTATTGACATGCCTGTTATCAAGCAAGAACCTGAGAATTGTGTCACGATTTCTAGTTCTTCGACAATAGGTTTGTCTGGCGGAAGTGGCGGATCGATAGTTCCACCACCAGTTAATGGTATTGCTTGGTATAATAAAAGGGGTGAAATGAACTCAAGTTACCCTGAAGGGGTTGTGGATAGGGAAGATGCCAGTCAGACTCCGCCATATCCATTCTCTCTGTTTGGTGGTGGTTTTTAGAGTTAATAGTTATTCTATTTTCCCTTTTTCGTGTAATGAAAGTTCCTTGTGTATGTATTTTACATGTACTTAGACATTTCGTATGTATTTTTTTCATATGTATGCTGTAAATACTTGTCATAATTACCTTGTGCAATTTCAATATAAATAAGTTTTAGTTAGACCGTTACACAGTCTGCCCACCCCTAAAAGCATGTTAAGTATGGAGCATTAGATCATATTGGATAGTATTGTGGATGAGATTTGACCTTCTTTTTCTTCCTCATAAGGCATTCTCGTGATATTATTATGAATTAATGTTTTGTATAGGGGATCCTGTACAAAAAGATATACACGTGCCATGCTGGTGGCACCTGTATTGTTGAATTTTTTTTCTCGTTTTTGCCAACATCCAATGAAACTTTGTAAACTTCCCTGTACACAGCGTTTCTCTATTAATATTTGGGGTTTTGTGGGGGGGGGGGGGGGGGGGGGTGATTGCATATTCATTCAACTTTGTTTGGATGCCATTAAAAATGGTGTGTAATAGCGATGACTTCCCATGTCTTCAAATTTCCCTTTGTGACAAGATAAGGATGCTTTACAAGGTTGCAGGAAGTATAGTACAACAAAAGAAAAGATTGTTCCTTAAACAAAATCAAGATATCCTCTGATGAAGGCATCTCAACCTTGAGATAAGTTAGATTCCTTTGTTGAAACATATATCTTTACACAATACTTTCTTATTATTAAACCTATAGTACTTACTCATTAAGTTGAAAAAGGGTCTTTTCCCACTTTTCTCTATCGCTTTCGTTACAAAAAATGAACCCAATGATTGATCCGGGAACTACTGAATTTGCGAGTTTCATGACAGCACAGGCAAGGAACATTTTCACATTATAGTATTATCTTTGTTCATTTTCACATTTTCCCGATATCAGGAAGTTTTGTCTGAATATTTTCTAGTATCGAGAAACATGTTAATCAGTTTGTATGTATTCAAGAATCTCGGTGCAACTGGCTGCTGAATTTGAATATGTGAATTCTTTTTGAGAAAACAGATCTTGATGGTGATGAGGATTAATCTTGACTGCAATGCTTGTTGCAGAAAAATGAGAAGAATCCTTCTCAAAATGAAAGGTGACTTATGTTAGTGAATATTTTCTTCTGATTGCCAGTTAATAACTCGATACTTATCTATTCTCTTTTTCATTGCATTGTTCGAAGAAATTGAGACGCACTTGATAGAGAAGCAATATTGCAGGGTAAGCGTCTGTGGAAGGTTCATTCCAGCAGATGTAGCGATAAAAATAAGGAAGAAGATGAAGCGTAGGGTCGAGATTCTGGACATTCAAGAATACAGCAATATGGAATGACATACAGAACAAATGCAAGTCCAAATCCCAGGCCATGTCCTAACACAGCATGCATAGAATTTTCTGAACTTATAATTCCATTAAACAAAATTGTGCACATATTCCAAGACAGAATGACAGAAAGAGACACTGACTGATCCATTAGTTTCCAAAATATAGTTGTAAATACGTATAATTAATAGATGATTCCTGAATTCTCTGTGCAGCTGCAGTTCATAGATAGATCGATCCCTTTACATAGTGCATACAGTTTTTGCATTTATATGATGACATTGTTTGATACAGTTGCCCAGAAAATCTGTGTTCAACTGTATTAAGAATCAATCAACAGTTACAAACTAATTACAAACTAATCATGGCAGTAAGACTTGTTTGGTTGGCTAATAAATTTTGATAAAAGTTGATAAAATTTGCGTGCCTCATGTGAATTTGAGGAAAAACGTGTGTTAGAAAATAGAGACTAACATGGACTATATTTAAAAGTTTCATAAAATTCATGTTTGGTTTAGATAAAAATTAATTTTTTTAGTAGATTTTGATAAAAGTCAGTGGAATATATGTTTAAAACATTGTGGATTTATGAAATATATGGTTAAAATTAATTTTTGACTTTGATTTAAATTTTAATGTAAATTTTTAATTGAACCAAACGTGCTAAGTTTGTATAATCTGCTACGTTGGATAACTTGCTAGTTAAAATACAAACCCTTTTTCCAGGGAAAACACGTTTTGTAAATTACATCCAAATTTTAGGGAATCAAATCCTTAAAATCCATTCTAATTTAACGTATAAAATTATTTCACATGAAATTTTTGTTTTTCACATGAAAATTTTGTAAGTTTTCAAAGGTGGAGTTGTAGTAGGGATCACATTTGGCTCGAGCCCGATTCAAGACGAGCTGAGCCGACTAAGCTCGGAAAATTGTCAGAGTATGTAACTAATAGAATAAGAAATTCAAAGTTCAGTATTAATTTTATAACAATTTTATGTTCAGTGACTAAAATAGAACACTCCCATAAATTTGGTACCAAATAGATTTAGCCCAACATAGAAATACAAAAAGAGAAAATGTCCATTTTTAAAGATGCATTTGAAAAAATAGCCAACATTTGTAAGATTTTTGGGAAAATAACCTCTTTTTTCTTTTCTTTTTTTAAATAAATAAAAATATTCATAAAAATGACCCAAATATGAGCTATATCCAAAATCCTTCACTTTCCCTAAAAATTACTCAAATTGACGACATCTACATCTCCATTCCACCCATTTCTTCTTCTTCACCCCTTGGTCAGGTTAATTATTTGAATAGTTCTGAACTTTGTCAAGTTTACTATTTAATAACTGAACTTAAAAATGTATTTTAATAGTCGCTGTACTTTACCAAGTATTATTACTTCATAATTGAACTTAAAAAAGTATTTAAATGGTCATTGAACCATACACAAGTTATTGATACATCACTCAAGTGGGAAAATATGTTAGGTTCAACAAACAGCGTCGACTTGAGTGATGGATGGACAACATAGTGTATAGTTCAGGATATTTTAAGTTCAATTATTAAATAGTAGTACTTTGTAGAGTTTAGTGACCATTGAAGTATATTTTTAAGTTCAATTATTAAATAGTAACACTTAAACTACTTCAGTAATAATTGAAATACATTTTTAATTTTAATCCTTAAGTCCCTCAAATTGACCTCAGTGAAAGAGGAAAAAAAATGAATGAAAAAAGGAAACAAAAAAAAAAAAACCAAAACAAAAAGTGACCTATAAATCAAAGAAAAATAGAACTTTTATTGATGTCTATTCTGAAATAAATGGACGACATTAGTCTTCATTTGAAAATTTTGCAGCCTAGATAGAGGATATAGAATGTTAGATTGGCTCTGAATGATTTGCGAAGTCGTTAAATCCCTGTTCATGCAAAACTTGTAAGTGTACAGAATCATTGGCAACTAATAGATTTAAGCCCCGTTTGGTACACATTAATATAAAAATGAGAATGGAAAGTCGTTAGGGGCCCTACACAAAATATAAAAAGTCAAATATGGTGATTTGATGTGATGGATAACGATCATATTTTTTATTTTAATAGACAAATAATGGGAAACAAATGAAGGCTTAGTGAGTTGAGAGTATCACCCCACATGAAATAAATTTAATTCAAATTTACTAATTTCGTATGAATTCGAATTATATAAACAAAAGTAAATTTGATTAAATTAATTTAAGAAAAAAGTAAAATTAGGTTTTTATTTTTATTTTTTTATCAACCATGGATGATTGTATTGGATTTAAAATTCGTCTGTTGTTATTTATTTCAATTCTTGATTTATAGTCCAGTTCCTTTCATGTGTTCTTGACAATTGATAAAGTTATGATATGTAATTATCTTTTTCCAAAACAAATTAAATGTATCCTCACCACAACCAAAATCTAATCCTAGCTTAAATTTGAATGGTTAGAATGCATTAAAGTTTAGAATATTTATATGATTGCACATGTGTTAAATGTAATTTCTAACATTCATTGCCCATATATTAATTTTGTCACATTCTAAACTTATTGTGAGTCTCCCAACACTGCAACAAGCAACTAATTATCTAATTGGTGGCCAAACAATTAAATAAAGCAATGGGTATGGAAAATTAATCAAGAAAGGCAAGAAATACTAAACTACTAGTTTTGAATTAGAAATAAAAAAAAAAAAAAACAAATAGAGTTTATCTTCATCCAATGCAAAAACGGATCTAACCTCACTTATTAATATATAAATTACAAGAAGAATAATAGATAAGTGTCACCCGAATCATGAAATAATTCAAAAGATGTTGATCTTCAAGCCTAAGGTTGAATTCTTTAAAATCTTGATGTAATTGAGCTTCAATTTCTTGCTAGGGCTTGATCTCCTCTCTCAAAATACAGTAATTTACCCCATATTTTTGATGAATTTGATTATACTATTATGTATGAAGAGGCAAGAGATGGTTTTTTTTAATCAAATAGAGTTTATCTTCATCCAATGCAAAAACGGATCTAGCCTCACTTATTAATATATAAATTACAAGAAGAATAATAGATAAGTGTCACCCGAATCATGAAATAATTCAAAAGATGTTGATCTTCAAGCCTAAGGTTGAATTCTTTAAAATCTTGATGTAATTGAGCTTCAATTTCTTGCTAGGGCTTGATCTCCTCTCTCAAAATACAGTAATTTACCCCATATTTTTGATGAATTTGATTATACTATTATGTATGAAGAGGCAAGAGATGGTTTTTTTTAATGTGTAGCCCAAGTTATGCATTCATAAGAGCCATAAATAGGTCAAAACCGTGTTCAATTTAGGTTCTAAAAGGTTTAAATCGTAAAGGAAGCTGCTAATTTATCTGCGAAAATAGCCTTTGCATGTATAGCCAAAACAACTGCACTGGTGTTGTTAGGCAGCCCTCGGATTGGAAAAACAATGTCTTGTGCACGCCTAAACTGGCCCCCGATCACACTCCGGTTTGAGAGGTCGTTCCTAAGCAGATTTCAATATTTTTATCATAACTTTTTTTTTTTTGATATCCGATTGAGGTGATTCAAAGTGTGTTGAAAAGATAATTCAAGGGAATACAAGTCTAATAGACACACAATTTTTTCCAATTCGAATGTTTACTAATCAAAAAATGGGTCTCAATTTGAGATAAAAATATGAAGCATAACTTCTTTGGTTGGATGCCTAAACTGGCCCCCGATCACACTCCGGTTTGAGAGGTCGTTCCTAAGCAGATTTCAATATTTTTATCATAACTTTTTTTTTTTATATCCGATTGAGGTGATTCAAAGTGTGTTGAAAAGATAATTCAAGGGAATACAAGTCTAATAGACACACAATTTTTTCCAATTCGAATGTTTACTAATCAAAAAATGGGTCTCAATTTGAGATAAAAATATGAAGCATAACTTCTTTGGTTGGAAATTAATTTGTGAAAATACTTTCACTATATTTTCACTCTTTTGACCTCCAATTGCACCCAATTGATTATATGTAATCTCCAATCATCATTTGATGGTCGTTTACACTTTGATTCCCCAAACATTGGATTTCTTTCGTTTTTACCCATTTCTCGTTCATTTCTTCTAATTCCACCAATTTACATAGAGTTTAATCTAACAAACATAATTAATACATAATTAAGCATAACTTATCAAATCACTAATTTAATGGTCTAGATAAGTATATAAAATATACTTACCAATCACCAACTAGCATATCCCCTTCATCAATCGATTCATTCACTTGAATTATCAACTTGTTCAGTTCATTAGCCATTTCTTGTTGATGTTTGACCTTTTGGTCTTTTTGTTGTTGTATATTTTTTTCCTATAGTGAAAAATACGTACAAAGGGTATTATTCTTAGACTCCAGTCCTTCACATTCTAAAAACAACTAGGATGAGAAAGATGATGTTGGCAAAGGCATTGTAGTGGATGAATCCAGCTATGAAAATTTTGAATGATGCTAAATGTTTAAGCATTGGAGCAATAATGCAAGTTAGAAATGGCTTTTGTTCTTTTTGTCTCATTTCAGTTTGAAGTGCAACATGTGGCAGCAAATAGCTTCTGAAATTTGTAAATGACCATTAAAATGTTTAAACTACTCATGAAAAAATTATTGAGCCAAACATCATCCGTAGTTTGGCTCTATAATTATTTTACCTTTAGCTTCTATTTTGAACTTGCGAGTAATGAAATCTTTTCACAGGTATATTCATTCTTACAATTAATGAAATATTTTTGTGCTAGAGTCAAAAGAAAAGAAGAATAAATTTAAATCAATACCAAATGTTCATACGAAGAATAATAAATATACAAAGAAAATAGATGAAAAATAATTTAATTTCACTTAACTTATGAATATTTTTTTTCATTTACAAATGATTTTTTCTCAAATTTATACTTATTTTTAATATTAACCAACTAACATGCAACGCATATTCACCCCACTTGTGCCCGTCGAGGCATAGCCCAGTGGTGCAAAGGATAGAAGTGAGGTTATCTCACACCTTGCTAGCAGCCGCAGTGTGGGGGTTCGATTCTTGAGACATAGAATTGGACTCCTTGTAGGCGCAGTGTACAGTCAACTTTTGTTCCCTAGCATGTTGAGGCACATCCCGCAATTTACCTCCTTCACAAAGTTCTAGGGGTAGGGCGGTGGAGGCCCTCAAAGTTGGG